ATATAAAAATCTCAATTATACCGATTTGATAGGGGACTATACATATGTTTGATTTAGTATGTTGACCAAACACCCCACCGGTTACGTACGTACGTACGCTATTTGGAGCCCAAAATGGATGAATGCTTTGTTTGGACATATGAAAAAAAAGGCGCCTATAATTGAACTATTTGATCCATAATTATTATTGAAAAGTCCGGTTTAATATTTTTTTTTTTGACTGCAATAAACATGAGCGATGGTCGACATTCAACTTCTGTGTCGCTTCAATCTTCAGGTATTGAATTACTTTTAGTTTGTTAACCTTTAATATAACTTTTCCGATTAACGACTCTTCAATTTTGAAAACATATAGTGGGCACCGCTTCAGCCGAGGAGTTGTCCGAAAATTATCAAAAATTATTCCAAGAATTCTCTCGGTAAATTTATTTTTATTTGCTTTCTATTTATCTTATAAAATTATTCCAAGAATTCTCTCGGTAAATTTATTTTCATGCTTTTATTTGCTTTCTATTTTATCTTATCCTTTTTATATTATTAGGCTAAAAGCCCAGCACTCTGTCTTGAGGCAAGCAATCGTCAAGGTTTATTTTCAGTGTTTAATTTTTATTTCATTTTTATTTATCGAATTTCTTTAATTAATAAATTGATTTATTCGCAACAGGAACATGAAATTAATATATCATTAAGAGACGAATGTAAAACCAAAGAACAAGAATTGCGTGCAGTATGTTCAATTAATTCTTGGTTTATTACACTAGGGCCTAATTTCTTGATTTTCATAAGTTTGCCGGATCAAGATTTGAAAATATATAAAAAATTTTTTATTAATTTTGTATGGCCTAATTTAAATTTTATATTTATTATTTACGCAGTCACTCCAAGAACTCGATCTTTTAACATTCCACAATCAAAGATTAACCAAACGTATTGAAAACCTACAAGAATCGAGCGCTTCGGTATAAAAAATTTTTTTTTAATAAAAAAAATCCAAATTACCATTTAATTTTAACACGCAATAATCAAAGTATTGAAATTTTATCACATCAGAAATCGTCACCAGGTTGGTTAGTCGGGTCAGCAAAAAAAGAACTTGAGAGAACAAAAGCTCTTTTGGAATCTACAAGTGGAGAATTGACAAAGGAAATTGAAAAAAATGGTATAACATTTGATACTATGAATTATATTTAAATATCAAATTCTGGTGTGTTCATTTTACGCGTTTTTTTTTTCCAGAATCATTGCATAAGGAACTTTTTGAGGCCAAGAGTTTATACACACAACATTCGAATGTTCTTGAATCCAAGATTTTAGAATTAGAAAGAAAGGCCGAAGAGCTCCAGGTACCCACATAAGACATTAGATTTGTATTGTATTAGATCAGGTACGCATTAATTTACATTAACACGACTTATATAGAATGAATTAACAAGATCACATCTTGCTAGCGAAGATGCTATGAGTACATTACGTCAAGAGAAGCGCGAGCTTGATAATGAACTCGAACAAACAAGATCAGAATTACTCTTGTAAGTTTACCCTGGATTTTGAATCTTGCGTTTATCACTTTGCTTTTTTTAAATCATAGTATTTAATTCTTATTGTAGAAAGAAAGTACTTATGGAAAGGAATGAATATAAATTGAAAAGTGGAGATGATACATTGCGAGCTGAAATGATTGTGCTTAGAGATACATTGTCTATAGATACTGAGAATTCTTGCGAGCCACAGGCAGATAAATTTAATGTTTGTAGTTTATTTCATTTTAAAATTTTTAAGCTGGATCTTTATAACACACATATATATGTATTTGTTTTTTTTTTTTTTTTCTGTACAGGAATTAGAGAATAGAATTGATAATGAGTCTAATGAACTTATTGCAAGCTTTAAACAATTGCAATTAAATGCCAAAGATTACTTGAAAGCTCTTGAAGAGAAGGTAAGAGTAAGATAGACCGTTTTTTTTAAAATAGGAATATCTTTAACTAATTGCAGCTAATTTTGTGATTTAGTCGGAATCATCTTATGATCTAGGCTTGAGGGTCAAAAATGCTAGTAAAGTATGGCAACAAAATCTACAAACATTGGCAGTGAAATTGGCATCCTCTCAAAGTACACAAATATTTTTGACTATGGTTTTCCTGTAGATTATCAAAACCTTTCATTAACTGTTTTTTTTTTATAAAAGGTCGAATATTAGAATTGACAGCAGAAAAAGAGAAACTTGTTAAAGTGAATGAACAGGGCTCAAATAGGGTTGCGACTCTGGAAACTGAAATCATTCGGTTAAAAGAGGAATTGAATAGACATAAGGTGAATTATATTCGATAGTTATGTATGATTTGTTATATAACATTTTAATATTTTTACATTTTTTAGGAACATTTTCAGAACCAGAATGGTGGAGACGATGTTGAAAATTGTGCTGGTAACAATAAGACCTTATTAAATTGAAAAATAATTGTGAAATTTCTTACAAAACCAATAATTCTTTATTAATATCTAAACTAGCATCTCAGGATGATGATGAGGAGGAGGTCTGTCTTTTTAAAAGTAATCAAGCGACACTTTTGACAAAATATAATTGCTCTTAATGAATATCTTTTCAATTTTAGCAGTTTGTTTATCCAGTTAATCCTGAAAAGCAAGAAATCCCTGAATCTTCAAGTCAATCAATTGAGAATACATCACAACTTTCAACCATTATGACCACACAAACAATATCTGCAAGTGATACTGACTCTAACACAAGCAGCAATAGTAATGTAGGTATTCATGCGTTAGGAAGTGATATAGGAATGAGTAATTAGTACACTCTACTCCAAATTCCAGACATTGTTTTTTTTTAACAAGTGATTTTTATGATTAGCGATCTTCTAAAAATGAGGAGGATGCCATAAGAGAAACACTTATCAAGAAACATTATGAATCTAAAATAAGCCAATTAACAAACCAGGTCAATAATTTATTTTTATATTCTCTTAAACATACAAAGTATATTTATTTGGAATTAAATTACTTATGATTATAGTTAAATTCAGCGGATCAAAAGTCGGTACAATTACATAATTCTCTAAAAGTCATTAAAGAAAAATTGGTTGAATCGGAAAATCTAAAATTACGGTCAGAACAAGAAAATGTGAAATTACAAAATGAATTGTCTCGATTGAAGGTAATTGATTGAAAAGATTTTGACCTTTTTCCAATACACTTTTTTTTTTACAACTTCGTTTTAAAATTTATTATTAGGAAAAATTGAATGAAGATCGTGCAAATTATGATACACAGCTTAAAGAAATGAGGGGGTGGGCTGAACAACGGCAAAATAAGGATAAGGAATTAGATGACGAATTATCGGGGTATAAAGCTGGAACTTCGCGAAATGAATAGATGTATTTTATTATAAAGTTTTTATTTGTATATTATTTACATTGTATCTACATATCGTGTAACAACAGTATATAAAAAATATTGGTCTATAGAGAGAGAACCGATTTTATTACATGAAATGGTAATTGTTATGCTTTTACGTAAAAAAATTTTTTTGATCTGCATAATTAATTTTTTATGATCGAGATTTGGGATTGTTTAAAAAATTCTAATTATAAATGGGTGCCGCCAGGGAAGAAGCACGCTTTGGCTTTCAAATTTATGATATCGGACTCAATCCATTAGATTTCTATATGGGTCGAGTCTTGTAAGTTATAAATTTGAAAGCCCAGCACACATTCAGATACATTTAGATAACGAAAGAATTAATAATTTATACCACTATTTTTTTTTGTCATGCTAACCTCTTTGGAGCTAGAATCTTTTTTATTCAAATTTTTGGGGCGCGAGTGCTTCAGAGGCTTTCTTACATTAGAATACATTTAGACACACATACAACTTTAGTTATTGTCTATTTAAAATTTTCGTCATATATTACATGTTTGTCTACTAAATTCTATTCCTGAGATTCGCCCGTGGATCCCCTATTTAAACTCTGTAATGCAATTTCATTTTGTATCAATAGCATATTTCTATTACATTAGTCAAAATACAGTATGTTTTTTATTTTATAGAATTTTTTACTCTATTATGTAAGTTCTTGACAACCACCTATCTAAAATTAATAATTTTTTTTTATTTTGATTCTATATAAATAATTAAAATAAAAAAAATTTCATCAATTTTAAATAGTTAGTTGTCGAGATATCTTCGCTCAAAGATTAGAAAGAACTTGAATAACTATCAAAAGCTGCGGCAAAGTTTTATTCAAACTTTGAGCAAAGATATCTTGACAACTACTCATCTAAAATCAATGAATTTTTTTTTATTCCAATTCTATATGCCAGTATAATTAATATAAAAAAATTTTCATCGATTTTAGATAGGTGGTTGTCGAGATATTTTTGCTCAGAGTTTAGAAAAAACTTGAATAACTATCAAAACAAGTGGCAAATTTTTCCGAACTTTTTGAGCAAAGATATCTCGATAACCATTTATCTAAAATTGATGAAATTTTTTTTATTCTGATTCAATATCCTTGTATAATTAAAATAAAAAAAAGTTGTCGATTTTAGATGGTTACCAAAATATCAAAAAAATTAATTACAATTGAATAATTTAATCCAATCAGATGTGACTATTCAAGCAGAATTTTATGATTATAAGGAATACATTTAAAAAATTATATGATCATTCTGATATAGCTTAACGGTTAGAACGCGGGTCCGTACATTGCACTAGGTACAGGTTCGAATCCGGCTGGTGCCAGGCTCTCCATACTCGTAGTGAAGATTGCCCAGTTAGCAAATGTCAGGTGATCATTGGCCGATTAATTTAGTTATTTTGTCCAAATTTGTGATGATTGCGAATTTGTCCTCAATCCCATGATCAGATTATTCGGTTTTATCACAAAAATAGATTGTTATCTCTTGTTAATTAAAACTAGATATGTACACTTTAATATTAAAATTTTCTGTTATCCCGTGGTTTTTAAAAGGTTATTAAGTTTCTGGTCTTTAAACGGTTTGTTATGTTTATTTTATTCTTCATATAGAACCTAAATATGAGATATTGTTCAATTATTGGTTTTTTTTCTATTATGGAGATTACAGAATTGCTAATATGTATAATATTTTATATTGCAGAATCTGTCATGTATAATCAAGTCTTGACTATAGTTGGCGGTAGAATTAATTTGGCAAATTAATATGGCAACGGCATGTGCCGTGTTATTTGCCGTAACTCTGTAGTGCCGTATTATTTGCCGTAACTCTTGTAGTGCCGTAATGCCGTAATGCCTAATGCCATAATAAATATTATAATATATAGTGTTTTTTTCTAGTACCCATAGAAACTGAAAGTTATTTATTGATTTGTAGAAGTAACGTCTAAATATAAATTTTACATATACTAAAGCAGGACCCCGGATAAATTCTAAAAAGGGTACAATTAGACCGGGGTAAAATCGCCATCCAAAAAAGTTTCGAAAATTATGTGATATTGTCAATTCGTCATGATTAAGATCATGGTAATAATAATATTTAGTAAAATATTAATTGATTTAGTATGTGATGTTTTTTCTTCGATTCTTCAAAATGAAAATGATCATTACAATCTCGACAAACCAAGTGATTCTTTTAAAAGCATAAAATCAAATAAGAATGAAAGTCGAAATAAAATTATAAAAACTAATCAAGAAAATGCAATTGCACAGAAAACCTTGTAGAATTTATTTTAATGCTCTTCCGGAAGTTCTTAGATCTGATTATTTATTTGAGCAAAAAATTTTTATAAATCTGGAACGCAAAAAAGAAAATCATTGAAGAAAACATAATGATTCCAATTAGTAACAAATGGATCGATAGTATCAATACAAACTTTGAGCCATTACATAAATTGGATTATAATTATTTTAAAAGACAATGGAATATTCCAAATACTTAGAACATAATACTTTCTGGGTAATAAATATTACGTTTACTAAAATAAATAAAAGTCGAAACTTTTTTGGGTGGCGATTTTACCCGGTCGTACAATTACTAAAAGCGAATACGTTTTTATTAAATTTGAATATTTTTTTGGCCTAAACTTTTCTAAATTCTGGTCAAATTAAAATTTAATTTTTATTTGGCCAGAATTTAAAAAAGTTTGGGCTAAAATGTCCAAAATTTACTATTAACTCAACTCATACCTCTATTAGTATTATTTGGGGTCCTACTAGAACTACCATGGTCAGATTGAATCAGCTTCTTGGTGGATCACAGGTCAAAAAATTGGCCTGACTCAGGTTTGTTTTGAATTTAAAGATTTGTTATATATATATATATATTTTTTTTTTTTGTAAATACCATAGTTGAAACTTTATTTAAAAAAGTAGAGAAAGATCTACATTTAAAGATTTCGAACTACACTTGTGCTACTAATGAGGCACCCAATGCGACATTATATCCTCTAATTTTCTATATAATGCTATTGTTAATTATTTCAAATAATTATATAGCTAGACTAGGTTAGAGAAAACCTAAAGGATTTGTTATATATTAATATAACAGGTATGATATAAAATTATAAAATTTTATAAACTCTACTTTTTAAATTCTCAAGAGTAATCTACATAACTATTGACCTGGAAAATACTCTAAACAAGAATCATCAATTCAACTTTATGCTAGTGTTAACTCTAAAATCTTTATGATTTTTTATATGATTTATTGACCCGGATCATGACTTGAGTCAACATAAGACCCACTTGGGTTGTTATTTTCTGACTCAGATAATAGCTTTAATTGAGTGGTTAATGAAGTTAATCGAAGAAACTTGGTAAAAAAGATGGTCTACACTTTCAGATTTTGTTGATCAAAATAGTAACTTGGTTAGTTTATATATTTCTAACTAATTAAAATTTTGCTTCTGATCCATAGATTGAAACATTTGAAAACACTATAAATCTGCATGGATAAGAAATTAATAAGAAATAATAAATCATTTTAAATACTTTGATTTAACAAATACTATACTTGTTAAATATCACCTTCAATTAAAAACTGACATACATCATTTTAAATTATAAAATTAAGTATATATGTCATATTGAATTGCCACAAAAAATAATTTTATTTTTTTTTAATACTATATAAAAATATATATAATTATTGTATCTAGATTAATTATTATTATCAGTCATTTCAAACTCACGTATGTACATATGTATATATGTTAATTTTTAATTAACAGTAATTTGAAAGTGAAGCCACTAGTTAGATTTAAAAAGAATCACCAAATTCTTTGCTATAGCCTTTAACATTAGTAATTATCAATTTATCTGTCTGATAACAAATCTAATATAAAAAAATAAAAAAAGTAAAAATTTTGAAAGCTAATAAATAAACAGAGCAAAGAACTTACAAAGCTAAAATTTTTACCATTTTAAAATTTTCTTTTATAATTTTTTT